TCTTCATCATCATCATCATCATCATCGATGACGACAGTAAGTGATACAACCTCCTTAAAAAAACAAAAACCAAAGTAGAGGGCCAATTCAGTGACTGCTGTACGAGGGGGGAAAAGAATTCCTCGTGTGGAGACTTGGACTTCTATCTTTGGAGAAAAATACGTTTTGTGAGGAAAGTAGTTATATTATAAATATATATATATATATATATATAGAAAAAGAGAGAGGGAGGGAGGGGGAGAGAGACAGACAGAGAGCGCAAATTGTTTGTGGAAGCGTTCGTCGTGCAATGAGAAGAGAAAGCAGCAGGGGTAAGCGAGCGAGAAAGCTGAGGAGAAAGATAGTTCGATCAGGAGCACGTAACCGTGGCCGATCGATTGGGTTTCATTGTCGAGCACCTTAATAAGCATCCACGAACCAGCACCAAGCACCACTGATCACGGCACCGCACATAATAATTCTTCAGACACGCACCCTTTCGCAGACCGAAACGCTGTAAGATCTATCCCTTTTTCATTAACGGCCCTGATTTCAGGAAAGGGGAATCGAGATCCTTTGATGTGTCGTTGGGAGGAATATTGGGAAACGCGAGTCTGAACGGATGTACAGACGGATGTACAAACGTGCAACGACCCGTGGAACGAAACGAGTCGAAAATTGATAGAGGGGGAATCGTTGTTACTTGCGGTGTTCCCCCATTGTTTGCTTTCCTCTGTCGTCATCTGCGAGGGAAACTCTTCCTCACGAAGACGTGCCGCTCGATGAAAGAACACGGGCCGCCAAGTGGAAAGACAAGAGACAGAACGAAAATAATCGAACGCGTTTGAGAAAACGTCGTTTTCCCATGTAACACGGAAGCCTACACCGGTTATCGATTGATCGCCGGTCATCGCTCATTTGTCCGCGTTTATTCTTCCCTCAGTCGCGCCCTACAGAGTCGCTTCCTCCCCCGCCCAGTTAACGAAAAGTCGGCCTAAACTCAGCCAGTCCGGTGCCTTTCGACTGGCAAGCAACCGAAGTACGAGCGTGGGACGCGTAGAATCGGGACACTCGATTTATATACCTAAATAAAGAGAAAGAAAAAGAAAGAGAGAAAGAAAGGAAATAAAGACTAGATAGAGAAGATAAAAGTCTCTCGAAATCCTCGAAGAAGAAACGCCTGGAAGGAAGGAAGGAAGGAAGGAAGGAACGGTATTATTCGATTTCGATTCGAAAGCCAGCCCGGTTAAAACCGGTGGAAACGTATACATATATGATGGCGGTGTGCATGTTTTGGCTTCTCACGTACGTGGGACAAGGCCTGGACCTGGCCGTGGGCAATCGTCCGGTGATCATAATGCAGGGTGCACAGGAGCAGCAGGACTACCGGCACGGTAGCGGTATCAGAAAGAAGAGCGAGTTGAATTCGGTAGGCAATAACCTGTTGCACTTCAGAATATATCCTCCCGAGGCCTCTCACAGGGACGACCTGTCCAATTGGCTCCTATTGAACGACGAGCCACGGATCTCCTCGTGGACGCCAGCCGGCATATTGATCGACGATATGATCAGGGAGCCGAGGGAGCTTCAGACTGTATTTTTCGCCCTGTCCCCAGCTATGCTGAACACGCTCTACTCGGAGTACGTGAACACCGCCGCCTCGCAACCGGCCGACCACTTTCTCCACGAGGATCAACAGCAACAAGCCGTTGGGGGTCCGTTGGTTGGCCAACGCGGCAAAAAGCTGCGTATCGACTGTAGACACTCTAGGAACACGGTCAGCCTGCCTATAAGAGTGTGCGACGACGAGAAGACGACGGGGCGGAACGGCCTCCAAGAAGCCAGACAATCGAATTACGACGATCTCTTCGAGCAGAAATTGAACACTGCTGCTAATATGAAGACTGACCCAACGTCACGGGGATCCGAGAAGCTTCAACGGGATTATCAGAATGCCGCGACGTTTGTCCCGAGGCCACCGTTGTTCGGCCTCGACGCGGGCAAACCTCCCGGAAAGAGGAGCCAAACTCCTGTTGGACGCCGCTCAATCGACCTCTCAGGAGAGTCGGCCCCGCATCAAGCTCAACCGCCGTCCTCCCTCGGGAACGGTATCAGCGTCGCTTCTCAACTTATGCTCAGATCCACCAGGGGAAGCATACAGTACGACGTACCGCAAATCGGTAAGTGTAATCACTCTCTGAGCCTCTGCCTCTGCGTTTTTTTGAGAGGGGAGGGGAGAAGTGTTTTTTGTACGTTTTTCGAATGAATTGTTTCGAGTTTCGATTGATCGGAAGCGAGACGACGAAGTAGACGATGAAGATCTTTTTATCGATCATGTTTTTAAGGAAATTTGAGAATTGGCAAAATTTTTGGATCCCTTAAGTAATGTAAACCTTGTTGTGAAGATTCTTAAGAAATTATTTGTAATTTTGGAAAAATTAAAGAGATTTCATCGAAAATTTTTGATGATTTGAACTTTGATATTTAGATTAAAAAAAAACGTACGCGGTTGTTTTGAGCTCGAATGAAAATTTAATTCTATTTTTAATAGAAATATGAAACTTTAAGTTAAAAAATCGATCAAGTCTAGAGAAAGGTCAGACTTTTGTTTTCAATTTAGATATTCAAACTTTTTCTTTTTTTTTTTTTTTTTTTTTTTTAACGGGTTAAAAATTCCTTTCCAAAAAAAAAAAAAAAGTTTGAAATTCAAAATTAAAAAAAAAACCTGCCCCCTTTCCAAAATTTTTCGCTTTTTTAAATTTAAAATTAAAAAAAAAACCTGCCCCCTTTCCAAAATTTTTCGCTTTTTTAAATTTAAAATTAAAAAAAAAACCTGCCCCCTTTCCAAAATTTTTCGCTTTTTTAAATTTAAAATTAAAAAAAAAAACTTCACTTTTTCTCAAATTTATCTTTTTTTTAATTTAAAAATTTTTTTTTTTTTTTTTTTTTTTTTTTTTAATCGAGTTAAAACTTCGTTATCCGATAAAACGATATACAGATCGATAAATGTAAGACACGTATTTCTCTCCTACAATAATTATCGAGAATTCTGAATTGGTCTAAATTGGTGAAACTTTCTGTGGCGATAGGAGAAGGGGTGGGGAGGAGCTCGATCGTCCTACGTAAATGACAAGAATTTTAGTCTTCTCTTTTCGTATACCCATTTGATGCTACCATTGATCCTGAATAACGTAATATTAGATCGATGATGGTATTTATAAATCTACCATGGAGTTCTGTTTATAGTAGCAATCTATAATCAGAAACTAAAATCTCAGGTTCCCTGATCACACAACAAGACTCTCTAATTATACGTCTGATACTTTTACCCCCCTATTCAACGGAATATTTTTATCTTCAAACAAACGTGGAATATTCACCTTGAAATTATTTCAGTTTAAACTTGCATTCGACCAAATTAAAACATTTGACCAATATTTACCGCGTCAACAATCAAGAAATTAATTTCGTCACGTGTTACCGTGTGACTTTATTGCCGCGTCCAGCGCATCTTTCAGGATTTAAATTCTTCGCCCTCCTCTTCCTCCTCTTCCTTTTTCCTGCAGAATTGTAGAAAATTTCGGTATCCCTCGTACCAAACACGCCGCCGTTTTCAAACTAATTTTCGAATGTCGCGATTCATCTATTTTCCAAACACACTTGCGCAAACTCAGTTTTGTTTCCATTCCACTTTGTCTCTAATCATCGTCGTAACTCTGTCAACACTTTGCTTTCTGCGTTCATGGTTACGTCCCTTTTATGACGTTTCCTTTTGCCATTAACGCTCCATACTTGTTCTCAAATATCGAGTAATCATTTTCTGAAAGATATATAATGTATTAGAGAATTATTTTTATTTTTATCTATTCGTTATATACCGTTATATATGTATAATTAATACAAAGGAAGTAGTTAATTCTAATCTGGTCTTTATTCTGGTCTATCGATTAATACGTTCTTTTATTATTTACGAACGATGCAAAGAATTTTATACCTCGATATATATCTAATGAGAATTGTTGATTATTTCAGAGATTATAGCGATAAAAAAATACATGTGTAAAAATATCATTTGAGATTTTATTTTTCAAGCTAGAAAAATTTAATTTTTCAATCAAATTAATATAATTTAATCAAATAGTAAAAAAAAAACAATTAATTATAACTAATCACATAATCTTTAAATTATTAGGACGTAATATGACCTTAATATTAAATGTTAAAAATTTTATCAGCAATAATATGAATTTTCAGTAGGAGTTTAAAGAGCTTTCAACTTTCAGAAAGTATCATAACGAAAGGGTTAATCCGCTTAAACATTCTACACGTATTCAGATTGATTATTCGATTATTATTCAAATATATTCAGAAGACATCGAATTGAATCGTATTTCCTCGAGCTTATCGATAAATCGAGAAAATTTTCAAGAATCGCCTGACGCAATAGAAAAATCGATTCTCGTTCAACAGAAATCCTCTTTCCAGAAATCCAAATTTCGAATTCGATGAAGAAAATATCAATCGACCGGTGAATACTTGATCTTCGAACGAGAAACGAGAATTTTTTTTTTTCTTTTCATGTGAAAAATCGAAGAAAGATGGAAATATCGATGCGGAGAGCAATTTCTGTATCTGCCATATCGTTTATATGTCACCTCTTCGGGGACCAATTCTCTGCATACATTATCATTGCAAAGAAGAGAAAAACCACGCGAGTTGCTTCGAATTACAACAACGTGATGGTAATATTTTCGAATCGAAAGAAGATGATTCCGTGTAATCAACGATGCAATAACGTGGGCATTTTAAATTCGAATGTTTATCGATATTTAAATAACATTATATACAAGCATTTTACGCTTAAATTGTTTTCGATTGTATCTCTCGATAAAAGTATCCTATTGCGCGATAATTTATTAATTAATTGACGTCAACAACAGGTTGTAGATTTCTCGTTTGACAGAGCAACTTTCGTATCAAAACAATCATTCGAGCTAACAAATATTCGTTTCGTTAAAGTTCATCGTATCAATCCTTTGCATTTTAGAATGTTTCACAAAACGTTTTGGTTTACCAACTTGATAATTAAAAGCAGAATTTATAACGAGAGTTGTGTGTTTTGTACGAATAAGAAACGAAGTGATATTCTATCAATTGTACATATTGAATTTTTTATTGCGCGTTTACATTTTAATATTGTAGCATTGAAAACAACATGTTTTTTTTTTTTAATTTATTATTACATTATTTATCATCTCGAAAAACAACCGCTTCTCTTTTCTTTTTTCCCTCCAAGCTTTTAACGCGATACTTCTTGCAGGAAATATCGTCGAAGAATTATTTATTCAATCCGATAGAAAATATACGATAAACATCTTTATGAAATTTTATAAAAATCGATGATGCACGAGTATATGATATGATCCTAGGAAAAATGTAATTTTAAGAAAGAAAAAAAGATCAAATTCAAATATTTGATCCAACAGCAACAACGAGAGACAGAAAATTTCTATCTAAAACTTTAAAACCAATTTAATCTAATTCAATTTCTCTTAAAGAGTTAAAGGATTAAATTTATCTTCGACAATTATTACACATCATTATTTATTTAACCAACAACACGTATCATCATACCTGTTATTATCCATCCTAGAAAAACACAATGCGTCGGCGAATCGATATCGCGTAGTCTTCCAAACCTCCCCGTTAACAACAACGCGTACTAACCTTTCACACAGGTTGAAAGGGTTAATTATGAGGTCGTGACGCGTAATTACTGTGGAACTTTTTTTTTTTTTTTTTTTTTTTTTTTTTTTTTT